ATATAACATGCATTTATATATAAAAAAATATTGGAACTTTTTATATACATTTTTAATCTTACACTAATTAAATAGCTGTACATTAGATGTTTTTAAATAATATCAAAATTACAATTTTAAATTTATTATAATATTAAAACATTATTCGAATTAAAATTCAATCAATACATTTATTTATCGATTAATTTTAAACGTTGAAAGCTTACTAAATTGAAGACTTTAATGTATGAAATTTAAGATGTAGAGTGGATTAGGTAAAGCAATATTTTATTATTAACAGTGACGGCTCACTTTGCCTTTTCGCCAGCTAATTTTTTAATATAAAAAGCTTTAAATGAAGTATTTAGCTTTCCAGAGGGGCTAATAAGTAATTGACCATATGTTCGTAAAGGAGACCAAAGCCTATCATCGTTAATCCAATAATATTCTTTTAATAGGTGAAACCAATCATTGTGTTATATATAAAAAAGTAAAGTACACAATAATTCATCCATTATAATATATTATTTGTTGAGTTAATCGATTATTATAGTCATCGAGCAATTCATATATTCTAAATTCGTTATTTTTCTTTTAAAAATTGACGACTTTAAGAGATACGCGTTAACATGCTAGTTGGATATAATAAAATTATATTTTAACGATGTCTAGTGACATCACTATTGCTTTCAAGTACTAACTTGAAAACATAATGTTTCAAAAATTGACTCAACAAATATAAATGAAGATTCGATCCATAAAATTCAACTCAAACTATTTTGTGATAATTTTATCATTTTCAAGTCAACAAGTTAACATCCAGTTCAGACGACCGTCAATTTTTTAACATAAATGATGAGTTTGAAACATATGAATAGTCTGATGACTATTTTGTAACTTTTAATAGTAAGATGACTTAACAAAATAACGTCATATATTTGAAAGGTCATTTTATAACTTTTAATAATTAACAGACTCAACAAAATAACACTATATGGTTGAAGGACCATTTGTGTACTTTATCCAAGGGAAGAAGATACCTTGATCATGAATATCAAGGCTTTCTTAAACAACAACACGCGTCTTTGTAATATATTTTATCAATTTTAAAATGATAAATATGAATCTTTATATTATTTTTATTTTAAAATTTTAACATCTCTCTTATTTTTTATTTAATTATACCTTTAAATATTAATACGACAATTATAAATAAAAGGTAAAATAATGTTTAATCTTTTATAAAATAAAATTAAAATTCATGTTCAAATTCATAAAAAAAATATAAATTTTAAAATAATAAAGAATCTTGATATATTTAAACCTATAAACTATATAAACACTTATATAAAAAAATCATATTATTATTTTTATTTTGCATAAAATAATTCATTACAAGTGTCCTATGATTACAATGATTGTGGAAGGTGGACTGCATATTCAAGTACACCTACATGTATGTGACTAACTAATTGAAACCAATAAAGTAATATTATACTATATACATTAAGCCCTTAAATTAATATTAAATTTTAAGATATGATGTTTTTTTCTTAATAAATTTGGGGGAAGATGTTCACAATTGAAACAGTTTGATAATATAACTCAGAAGCATCTCACTGTTTTTTAATATATATATATGAACTCTTTAGTTATATATATAAATTAGCATTTTGTATACTAACAATAAAATTAAGAAAATAGATAAATGTTATATATTTTTATATAATATTTAAAAATTAAAAGATAAATAATAATAAATTAATTTAGTAAATTGAGGTACTACATCTAACAAATAAAGTTAATGGTTTAATTATTTTAAACAAGGATAATTAGATTTTATTAATAAAAATAATAGAAGAAATCAAAATTACAACGCACTCAAAACAAAAAGAGAAGAATAAGGACAATAATCACCAATAAACTCATACATAAAATAAAAATATTAAACCCAAATATACAAATAAAAATGAAATATTTTATTGAAAATGACATCTAAAATCAAACCATTAACCTTCATAAAACTCTTTGTCTCTATCGAACAAGAGGCATTACAAAGTAATTAAGGAATGGTGAACGAACCGAACAATTTGACAGGCTACTTCGTTGCATAATTATAATTATATCGACAAACAAACTTTTACCTAAGAGGAGATCTAACAATATGTGATCGTCGACAAATCAATCAGAAAACTAATAAATGAAATATAAATTTTTATTTAAAAATTAAAAAAAATAATAATGTCATACTCGTGTAATAAACCCCAAATGTGAAGCAGTTGACGGTTGTTCTTTTGGCCTTATAGAGTGACTAAAAATCATTGGGCGCGTGATTAACGCTTAACAGCATCCATTTGGAGCGTAATCAGACCGTCTTCATGAATATATATTATATATAGACTAAGATATCCGAATTACCTAGTTTCTAATTATTTTTATATTCGAAGTTTAATTAGATTTAATTTTTAGATTAAAATCTTTCATAATATTTTTATACAAATTTAAAGTTAAAGATATCGATACGAAATTTTGATCATCCACTCACTAAATGTTAACTATAATATTATATATAGTTATATTTTTATAAGAGGCACAAACATAAAACATATAGGGTTTAGGAAGAAAAATATATATAAAAACCAAATAAAACAGTCGAAATTATCGTAAATTATTTAAAAATAAAATTAAATCGAAAAGTTTTATATGCCAAGTATTAATACCAAGTTTTTTACTTTTATTTTTTTTATTAATATGGGGTAAGTACAAGGTAGTATATGTTCAAAGATAACTCTTAACCATTTGACATTGATCGCTCGTACCCCTGATATTATCGATATTAAAACATATGTTAAATGGTCAACATATGTTAAAACAAAAATTAGGGATAACATTGTTGATTTTAGATTACTTTGGAACAAAACGATACTTTAAGGAAATTTTTAAATATCGAAGATTTATTAGATTAGTTTGAATTAAGACTATATTATAGTATCATGACACATCATCGTTTTTATTTAATTAATAATCAAATTTATTAATGAATATTAAAATAAAAATAAAACGTAACGGCGAATAAAAACACAAAAATAAATAATTTATCTTCAAAACATAATCATAAACACATAATATAAACCCTAAATCGAAGGAAGAAACAACAAATATTAGATGAATAAAGTGAGGAAGAAAAAAAGTGAAGAATAAAAGGTGGGAAAGACTATTATTACGAGGCAAAAGAGAAAGGAAGCAAAGGTCGGTACCCTACTAAAAGAGAAAAGAGAGTTAGTTATTTAAAGATAAGATAGATGGGTAGATGATTTTCATTTGCCATTTAGTCATTTCATGCACTCACTCTTGTGTCTATTTTACGTCTCTTTTAATTGGCTCTTCAACACAAACTTTTTTAAGCATAACGACTACACTATTTTATTTATAATTTGTTACCTTAGCTGACCTATTATGTGTAATGAGGTAAGAGAGATAGAGTAGTAAGCTGTCTCAACGTCATTGAGAGCAAATATCTAATTCCATTGGTAATTATAATATATCACTCTTAGATGATAATAAATTTTAAAAAAATTAAACATAGGAGAATCAAAATTAGTATAAAACTATACACATATACATATGATCGCACTTAAGTGTGTATATTTTCAATCGAATAAATTAGTCAATTATTAAACTTTATACAATATTATTATTTTCATAAATGTATAAAGCCGTCTCTAAAATACTTTAAGTATACTTCTTAGTGAAAATCATAGAGAAATAAACATCAAAATAGATTGTTTTTAATTATGGCGAATTTAGGTCACGCATATGCTTCAAAGTTACTATCCATGCAACAATGAAAGAAAAATAAATATTTATCAAAATTCGAAATCAAAGAGTGGGTTTAATATAAAGGATTACATGTTTTTTCAGATGATTTGAGTATGAATAATAGTTTAGTTTGTAAGTATGCATAAATTTATTGGCATTTAAAATTAAACATAAATATTATTTTATAATTATATTAGAATGGATAAATATTTATAGAGATTCACCCCTCAACTTCGTCTTTTCACTCACCGTTCTCACTCTTTGAGAAAAGAAGGTATAAATTAAAAAAAAATCAAAATTTTTAATCATATAATAAAATGTAACATATAATAAAAATGATATGAATTTGAGCGTGTTTATACACACAATACTCTTTTATTTATGAGATGATTTAAATATAACAAATGAATTAAAATTAAAGTTAAAATTAAAATTTAACTTTAAAAAATTGTTATTATTATTTAAAAGGGTAAAATATATAAATGGTCATTCGATTATAGGACGTTGCTTTGTTTAGTCCACTGTTTATTAAAAGTTACAAAATGGTCTATCAACTATAGAGCGCTATTTTATTGAGTCTCCCAACTATTGAAAAGTTACAAAATGATCATTTGATTATTCATATGTTCCAAACTCATTATTTTCTGTTAAAAATTGACAGTAGCCTAAGCTAGACGTTAACTTGCTAACTAAGATATGATAAACGACAACACGATGTTTTAAGCACTAGCTCAACGATATAATGTAAAAGGAGATTCGATTCATAAAATACATCTCAAACAATTATGAGATCAAATTTTATCATATTTCAATTGACTTGTTAATGTATAACTCAAACTATGTCAAATTTTTTAACAATAAAGGACGAGTTCGTAACATATGAATAGTCAAATAACTATTTTATAACTTTTAATAATCAAAATACTCAACAAAGTAAAATCTTATAATTATAGATCATTTGTGTATTTTATCTCATTAAAAAAAAACTACACGCACGCGCTTCCTGACTCAGTCTGGTTGGCTGCCGAGAAAGAAAACGGCACCATCAGTTTATTTATTTTTCTTCTGAATTCATTTCTCAACCAAAATTCATTCTACGAGAAAAATGAAAAAAGGGCAAAAAATATACCAAATTCTTCGTCTGTCTAATATCTGTTCTTTTAAACTTTTTCTTGGGTGTTTGATTGATACACTGCAGAACTTTCTTTTCGTTTCCTTTAAAGTAAAGCAAGAATCTTCAAACCAATAAATTAAACAAAAATCCCATTAAACCTTCTTCTTTAAGCCCGTTTAATTTAATTCTTTTTAACTCTGAAAATTCTTTAAGGATGCCGGATGGTAGATTAAGGGAAAGAATTTCCAGCAAAGCCGAACGACATACCAATCATCATCAAACGACGACGACAACGGCAGCGGCGATGCCTAATTACTTTACCGAAACGCTGACGTCTCCTTTCGGGGAGTTGGCGACGAATTTATCGGAAACGGAGCTCCGGGAGACGGCTTACGAGATACTGGTTGGAGCTTGTCGGACTACCGGTGGGAAGCCTTTGACTTACATATCGCAGTCGGAGAGGAATTCGGAGAGGACGACAGCACCGACGCCGATTTTGACGTCGTCGGCGTCGTTGCAGAGGTCGTTGACGTCGACGGCGGCGAGTAAAGTAAAAAAGGCTTTGGGATTGAGATCGTCTCGGAGGAGGAAACTGAGCGGCGAGTCGGACTCGGAACGAGTCAAAAAAGCGGTTACGATTGGGGAGTTGTTGAGGGTTCAAATGGGAATTTCAGAGCAAACGGATTCCAGGGTTCGAAGAGCTCTTTTGAGAGTCGCTGCTGCTCAGGTCTGTTAAAAATTGTACAGTGATCTTTTTTTTTTCTTTCAATTTTTTACCTGTTAATTAAGCTTCAGTAATGTGATAATTTGTGCAAATAATTTTCTTATTTTTTTTCTTTTATTTTTGATCATTTGTGCTGAACTCATGAGTGGTGTACACAAAATTACAAATTGATAATTCAGATTGTTGATTATAGGGAATGTTTATGAAACTTGATTTAATTATGATTTCCCCCTTCATGTTTATCAGTTGGGAAGACGGATAGAGTCGATAGTGTTGCCACTTGAGATGTTGCAGCAACTGAAACCCTCAGATTTTCCGAATCAAGGCGAATACGAAGCTTGGCAGAGGCGGAACCTGAAGCTTCTTGAAGCCGGACTACTGTTGCATCCTCTCTTGCCACTGGACAATGCCAACAATGATCCTCAGCAACTACGGCAGATCATTCGTGCAGCCCTGGAGAAGCCCTTGGAGACTGGGAAAAACAACGTGTCGATGCAAGCCCTCCGGAGCATTGTTTTATCTCTTGCTTGCCGGAAAAGCTTCGATGGGTCTGTTTCTGAGACCAGCCACTGGGCAGACGGATTCCCATTGAATCTCAGAATCTACCAAGCGCTGCTAGAAGCATGTTTTGATGTTAATGATGAAACATCTGTTATTGAAGAAGTTGATGAGGTTCTTGAACTCGTAAAAAAAACATGGGTAGTCCTGGGGATGAACCAGATGCTGCATAATCTTTGTTTCTTGTGGATATTGTTTAACCGTTACGTGGTAACTGGTCAAGTGGAAGGTGATTTGTTGTTTGCTGCCAATAATCTGTTGAAGGAAGTCGAAAAGGATTCGAAGGCCATGAAAGATCTGGATTACTCCAAGATATTGAGTTCTACTTTGAGTGCAATTTTAGGTTGGGCTGAGAAAAAGCTTCTTGCCTACCACGATTATTTCAATAGTGATAACACCGAGTTAATGGAATGTGTTGTTTCTATGGGGGTTCTATCGGCAAAGATAATGGTAGAGGATATCTCGCATGAGTACCGTAAGAAAAGAAAGGAAATTGGTGTGGCTCACGAGAGAGTTGATATGTACATACGATCATCACTCCGTACTGCTTTTGTTAAGGCAAGTTTCCAAAATTCCAATTGGCTCACTACTTTTCTAACTTAACTGTGATCCTTGTTTTGTTAGCTCTTAAATTTGTTTGAAAATGACTCAGGGTTGTGCCTTTTGATAATGTATTTAGACAGATAATGGAGAAGGTGAAGTCTAGCAAACGTTCATCTAATAAGAACCAGCAAAATCAGCTTCCTTTCCTTTCCATCCTCGCACAGGATGTATGTACACTGGCTTTCAGCGAGAAGGCGATATTTAGTCCAATATTAAAGAGGTGGCATCCTCTTCCGGCCGGTGTGGCTGTTGCCACTCTTCATGCCTGCTATGGGAATGAGCTGAAGCAATTTGTTTCCGGCATTGGTGAATTGACACCGGATATATTGCAAGTGCTGAAAGCTGCGGAAAAATTGGAGAAAGATCTGGTGCAAATCGCGGTTGAAAACTCGGTGGAGAGTGAGGATGGTGGGAAGTCAATCATAAGGGAGATGCCTCCTTATGAGGCTGAATCCGTAGTCTCTAATCTGGTGAAATCATGGATAAAGATTAGATTAGACAGACTGAAGGAATGGATCGACAGGAATCTGCAGCAAGAGGTATGTATGGCTTATGTTCCATTTTCTTTAACATTTTGATGGTGGTTTGAGTGAGTTGAAATATTTTTTTGTGATCTTTCCATAATCGGAAGATCTGAAGATGCAAGCTGTTTTGCAGGGAAATTTTGTTTATGTTTGTAGATTATACTTGGTTTCCAGCCTCTGTCATGTCTTGAATCTCATTTAGTTGCTTATGATCCATTGCTATACGTTTCTGTTTCTCGCCTCTTTGTAGGTATGGGATCCACGGGTGAATAAAGAGCGATTTGCTCCTTCTGCTGTTGAAGTTTTGAGAATTGTAGATGAAGCTTTGGAAGCATTCTTTTTGTTACCGGTATCCATACATGCTACATTGCTTCCTGATTTAACCAATGGTATTGACATATGTCTTCAGAATTACGTGTTGAAGGCGAAGTCCGGCTGTGGTATGTATTTTACACGGTCTATAAAAGATCTATGTATGGATTTTAATTTATTTTTTCTTTCTTTCTTCTGAATTTATCAATTTTGATGATAACTAAAAGGAAAATACACCATCGTCTGATCTACAGGCACCCGAAGTACTTTTGTTCCATCAATGCCTGCTTTGACTAGATGTTCAACACGGTCAAAATTTCCGGGTGTATTTAAGAAAAAGGAGAAGTTTCAGATGGCACAGAATAGGAAATCTCAGGTTGGGACTACAAACGGGAATGACTTGTTTGGGATACCCCAGCTATGCTGTCGTATTAATACTCTTCAGCATATTCGAATGGAGTTGGATGTCTTGGCAAAAAGGAAAATTGTGCATCTTAGAAGTTCTGAATCTCCTCATGTTGACAATGTTGCCAATGGGACAGGTAAAACATTCGAACTTACATCTGCTGCTTGTTTGGAAGGGATCCAACAACTGTGCGAGGCAACTGCATATAAGGTCATCTTCAATGATCTGAGTCATGTCCTCTGGGACGGTTTGTATGTCGGTGAAGTTTCATCGTCTAGAATTGAACCTTTTCTTCAGGAGCTCGAGCACTATCTGGAGGTAATTTCATTAACTGTGCACGACAGAGTTAGAACACGAGTTATTACCGAAGTAATGAAAGCTTCTTTCGATGGTTTCCTACTGGCTTTACTTGCTGGAGGCCCTGCTCGTGCTTTCAGCCTGCAAGATTATGAAGCTATAGCAGAAGATTTTAAGTTCTTGACGGATTTATTTTGGTCCAACGGTGATGGACTTCCGGCTGATCTGATCGAAAGGTTTTCATCCACAGTTAAGGCCATCCTCCCTTTATTTCATACTGATACTGACAGCCTGATTGAGCAATTCAAATACATGACTACAGAGAGTTACGGTTCTGCTGCTAAATCCAAACTTCCATTGCCGCCAACCTCTGGTCAGTGGAGTCCCACGGAACCGAACACACTCTTGCGAGTTTTGTGTTACCGAAATGACGAGACGGCGGCTAAGTTCGTCAAGAAGACTTACAACTTGCCAAAGAAACTCTGACAAATTCCTTAAATCTGGTAAAATAAGTCGAATGATGGGATTATAAAAGGCTTGAGGTGATTCACGTGGCTTCTATTTGTTTTGAGAACTTAAACTCGGTGTGGGGCAACCTCGTAAGAATAAAAGGATACAATGCTCCGCCGGCGACAGTCAACTGCTTCCAAGCATTATGATCTCGATATCCTTGGAGGGTGAGGATGATGGATGAAACATTATGAGTCAATACAACCAAAACTGCAGGATGAATGTTTAAGAGGTTTGATAATTTATTTAGAAAAGAAATTGAAAGGCTTTTAGTCCTGGTTCGTGAATTGGAATTTGTATTTCTTCTTGGTGATTTTTGAACAGCTTGTGTATGGATGTGTTGCTTGATGAATGGAATTGAATTTTTTTGCCTAGTTATTTTTTCGAAGCTGCTGCGGATCTTCCGGCTGTTGTTTCTCGAATGCCAATGGCTCAATAGCGCATGGTGGTGCTCAACATCAAGGCTAGCTAGTAGCTAATGCCTATGGTGCTTGGAACTAAAGACATCTGTTGCTGATGGTGAACTCGAGGGAAAAAAATTCAAATATCAAGTTGCAAAATAAATAATATTCGGCGTCAATTTTATATATTAAACCTGTGGAATAAAATCCAATTCCGTTGAAAACCTAAACTACTATGTCCAAATTTGATGCGTTTTATATCAAACATGTTACTTTATTGTGCTATATTTCTGAAAATATAGCACTCATATTAAATATTTATTAATGTTTATAATTCAATTTCCATTTTGATTCTATTCGAATAAAAAAATTATAATATTATCTGTTATTGAAAAAAAATTGAAAGAAAGAGAAAAATACAAGAACATAGAATCATGTAATACGGAGCTTATAGTTGTAAATCCTTATAATTTTGACTATTTTCTCTTCTACTCACCGACTCGATAAAACATTTTGATTACTTAATACAGTTTGTGAAGTTCCAAGTTTGACTGTTAAAACTCCTGTTTTACTTATCGTTTTGTTTGTAATTCTAATAGAGGAAAATGACCTACCATTGCCTCAATAATCAAATCACTCTCTCTAAAAGGCTCCATCCCGCGTGCAATGATAGATAGGGGTTACAGATATTTCGCCATTGTTATAAGATGTTTCTGTTCCTCAGTGCCATGGATTCTTCTTTCCTGTTCCACTTATCTTAGCCCTGCTTGATGTTGAGCTAGTCTTCTGCCAAAACATATAAAATTAAAAATTTGAAAAAAGATCTGAAATGTTTGTGTTACAGCGCGCTCGAGCATCTATGCGTGTGGATCATGGAGATAATCAATGATTATATGTACCGATTTCGATTTCTTCGTCTTTCCTCGGATCCTGTTCTTGGGAGGCTTCAGTTTATATATCCGAACCATCCAATGATGAGTTGTGAATACCTAAATAGACCAAAGACCAGAGAAAATGTTATCAGGGATGTGCTTGAACAATGGAACTCATCCGCCAAGTTATCAAACAGTCAGAATGGCAGGCAGAAAAACATGTTTGACGGAGAAATTATCTGAACAAATAATATTGGTTAATTTTCGTGATTCGAATGAGGTGATATTCGAATATAAATGAAAGTTACGATTATCGTACCTCCTCAAAATGAGTGAGTTTAAAATATTTCTTTCCGATTTCTGTCTGCCTAACTCTATCAAAGCCTTTCCCATCAGTTTCTACGAACCTGTAGACATGTAATTTAAGGGATGAAGTACTCGAGCTAAAAGCAAAACTGACTAAAAGAACATATAAACTCGAGAGTTAAACAGCAGCAGACCTGTAATAACAGAGTTTATACATTAAACAGTTCAGCATGGTTGGAGTGGCTTGTGAATCAATCCGATACTGACCATCTCTCTGTAGAGAGCAAGTTACATAACAGTTAATAATTATAACATGTGTATAAAAGGAAGATTAAATATCATCTAATTTCTTAGCCTAGATAAAAGATCCAGTCAACTCGGTGCGGTAACAATCTATTACAAAAAACCAAGAAAAAATTAGACAAGCATTATTTGGTCTCCAAGAACGAAAGAGAAACCAAATAATGGAATAATGGTGGATTTTTACGGGCACTGCTAGCAGAGAGAACTTACCAGGTAATCAGGTTCCTTGATATGAGGAAACACACCTCCTCCAATTCGAACCATCCACAGGAACTTGTTAATATCATCACTGGGGTAGCCAACGAGGCCTAATGAGTGAAGTAGATGTCAGAACGATAATAAATTAAGGCAGCGCATTTCACGTAAAGAAAGAATAATTCAAACCTCCAAAGACGACTAGAACATATTTTACATCCAAAGAGTGGAAAATTTCCCAAGCTGCCTTTTCAGGAGAAGACATGGCAGTACCAACAGTTGCAATATGAGTATTGTTCCAGGTGTTATTGTCAACAATGACAGTGCGGTTAGCCATAGCAGTGGTTTGGTAACCGTAGTCCCACCAAGATGCAACCTGTGAGGAGATTCAGTTAGCACAGTCAAACTAAACTTCGTTTCTTTGCCAACTTATTTGATTAAAATATGTAAACATTTAACAAAAAGTAAGCCACTACAGGCAAAAACAGTTCATTCCAAAATATGAGGAAAATACATAAATCAGCAAAAACTATCACCGATAACAAACCAGAGGCAACCCATTATATGCTCAGCATATTAGCATAGATCATACAGCTTGAAATATTTTTTTCATTATTTATTCCACTAAAATACATGCACGAAGAAAAACTTCAATCCAATAAGGTAAACTGAAATTTGAATGCTGGAAAATAGATTATGTCTGAAATATAGAAAAGCTTAAGAGTGGAGAAAAATACCACAAAGAGAACTTACTTTATCATCAACATCAGTATTATGTCGCAACCATGCGTAAGCTTCTCTAAAATCATCAAAAACGTGTAGACCATCATGAGAACGAGATGTTAAAACTATAGAGGGGGCCGAATAAGCTTCGGCTGCAGCCCATACACAATGAACCTGCAAAGGGAAGTGCATTAACATGGAGGCATACAATTAAATCAGTAAGAAGAAAGGAATGAGAAAGAAAAAGGTATGGAAGGAAATTCCAGTTACAGAACAAAAAAAGAACTAGTAACAAAGTTTAATTCTCGTTCAATACGCACACATACACAAATATATTTCCAACAGAACAACTTTTAAATCCTAGATATGGTATCCGTGGTAAGGCTACATTAAGGTCAGCGACATTGTTGTCCAAATAGGAGAGATCACTAGCTTTTAAAAGCCATAATGAATAATCATATTAACTACCATTTAGGGATTTCTATAATAAGAACACTGGCAAAAACAAGAAATTAGAGGATATAAAATACCACATAGAAGGCACCCAACAAGATGAGTAGAAGAAGCGAAATCACAGATGAATCCAAAGGTAAAGCAAGAAGCCTCTTCTTCTCAGCTTTGGCTTTGGTTGAAGGTTTTTCCTCCTTTTCCTTCTTCTTGCTCTTCTTTGAGGGTCGATTCTTTGACGTCTCTTCAGATTTTTCAGTTTTTACTGCATCATTCTGTGCTTCAGCAGTAGCAGAACTAGTTTCTGCAGCCTTAGTGTTCAGAAGCAGCAGAAAATAATTTTAGTCCCGTGGCTAAATGAATTCATCAAATGATTGGTTGAGCATAAACTTTTAGAATGGATAAACAGAGCCTGCTTACATCAACTTCTTTATTGCTTGATATTCCAGGAAGCTGAAACTTAATTGATTGGGTGAAAACATCAAAAGCTTGGGAGAGAGCAATTCCAGATGTGATGCATGCAGCTGGAGCAAACACAAGCATTAGGCGCACCTGTATAATTAGACCATAAAAGGCTCAACGCTATTAGGATATAAAAATAGGGAGTGATGGCCTCAAATTGATTGTGTGCTTATTCCTCTTACCATTACTCCAGAGAAATATACAGATGCTGCAATATAGAGGACCACAAATGAGCTTGCATCTGATAAAGGAGAAAAGCATGCCTTCCAACAAGGAAAAGAACAATTATTGATCGTACCGCAAAAACTTCACTTATAGAAAAAAGGGCAATATGTTCAATTCCAAAAGCTTACAATGATACCGGCTGGAACCAAGAATGCCAGAACATTAATGTCCATGAAATAAGATGGCCATGTTGGTGGTTGATGTTCACTAACACTAGCAATGATTGGTATATATTTGCTTGCATAAGTCCTGTCAAGAAGCAATAAAAAATGGAAAAGAAGTTACCCAGCTAATTTTGAACAACTATTGGCTGAACAAATGACACTAAGGTATTTATTTAAGCAAAAATACTGTTTGAATGGGAAATCCACATAATGCTAACAGATTAGATAGTTTTCTGGTATGTCATTCAGATCCAAGATTTAAAAAATTTGCATAGAACAAAAGGCCCCTCCAAAGTAGATCCATACCAAACCAAAATGTCTGAATAACCTCAATTTTCAAGGTGCATCAGATTGCACCATCCTTTACTGCAATTTCTTCAACCTCTTTTTCATTCACAGTTCCACCCAAAAGCATATTAACATGGAAGGTAATAGAATGAATTAAGTACTTACGGGTCAAGTAGACTTAAGCTTCGTCCACTCCATCCCTTTGTTGGACTGGAAGCTACTAGTGCTATAAGAACAGCTATAACAGCACAACATACTGCCCTGAGAACAGAAATTATATGACATCATTAAACATCATTAATCCTCAATCTAATTCAAATGCTTATCAGTTACTAAGAAAGTCCAGACGGAATATAATTTCCGTTCAATGCATGCCAAATTGATAAATAAGAAAGATTAAATCATAACTTATTCACTACATTTTGCTCTTAATTTCTATTAGTATATCAATTCATGTTTCCCTGAAAATATTACAAGAGGAGAGAAGGATTGTTCAATGTGCACTGAATAGATTGAAAGTTTAAACCATAATATACTAGCTATATTTTGTTGTTAGTTTCTATTAGCATGTTGATTTATGTTTCCCTGAAAATTACAGGAACAGAAGAGAAGGAAAGCTTACAGTCCAACAGATACAACAAGTGTCACAGCAACTTTAAACATTTTGGGGGTAAGAGTCCCTTTGATATAGTACACAAAAGCAACCACATGGAGAATAATGAAAACCTGCACTTGGGAAAGCCCTAATAAATCAAAATGCAGGGAGTAGCATGATATGAACCAAGAATCACAAGAAAGGGAGGGAGGGAGAGGGAAAAAGGAAAATATGTGAAGTATTTCGGGTATCCAAATATGATGTGAAGAATTTGGGAAATTCTTGATTTTATTATTACACACTAAGAAGATCTTCAAAAAGTACTGTCTTTTATTTGTCATTTTTTCTAATCCCATAAACACATTGTTGAATCATTAATGCCAATGAGCGTTTAAGCACAACAGTTGGTCACATAACTATAACTTCTCAAGTGGAATAATTAATAAAATGAAATGCTAGCAAGTAAAAGTGACTAGGACACCGGTGATTAGGTTATTGACAGGCAGGCTAAACCACTTGAGATTGACAATACAAATGAACCGCAACAACAAAAATAAGAAAATACAAATGGAAACAGAAAATTCAGTGAAAAGTAGAGGAAAAAGCTCACCAAGAATGATGCAAAATGTTCCGATGTCATGACAGCATTAAACCCAACTACTGGCACCAAAGCAGCTAGCAGTGTTCCCAAAACAACCTGCAGTTTCAAGCAAATCAAGAAAGCCAAATAGAAATCTCCAAAAAGATTTGGGTATTCGATTCAAGAAAACTAAGGTACATTTTCTAAACATGCCACCCTCATTACTACAACAGGCCATTATTAGTAGAATGACCTTCTATCCACAGACAAAGTGAAGATCAAGATAAAATATAAAGCATTTATACATCCTCCAACAAGTTCAAGTATCCATAAAATATATAAACAAGCTCGAATTATTAGAACTTTGATAAAATATTATAATCTTCTGCACGTTACCAATCGATCCAATGCCTCTTACAAAATGTGTTTATTTTGGTCAGGTTAATCTCGACAAAAGTCTGTCCGTTCTAGTTTTTCACCAAACATCAGTTTTTGCAAAATGATAACTGTCACTGATAACTGTCAGCATGATTCTTCAATAGCATACTGAAATGCATTCCTGCTTTTTATTGACTTAGTATTGAAACTTCCTAAGTCATGTAGATACTTACAAGAGGAGCATATGCAATGTACAGTCGAGAAGAAAAACGACCAGTTACAATGCATAAGAGCACATGCATTGGAATGAGGTTAATAATGAACGTATATCCTCCCCAAGAGCACACCTGGAAAAAAAATCAACTGAGAAACATAAACAAGGAGTGAAAATAAGGCATGGCTATTGATTAGCACGAGAAACCCACCATATAAAAGTATGCAATTGAATTCAAGGTGGCATAGAACAGAGATCCAGTATTTAGTGTCTGCAAATAACCAACAATGAAGAGAATAATCAGACATGAAAATAACAAATGGAAGGGAACTCCATGCAACATAAATAGCAGGTCATCTATAAAACATTAATACTATTTGTCAGTAGGTTAAAATCAGACTTTATCTCAACCATTAGAAGGAAAAATTATAGGAAATTAAATAAATTTACTTCAATCAAAGTCTGACCTTTATATAAAGATAAAAAGTGAAGATCAAGGCAAATATCGCTACAGCTTCATTGTCATAGCTACCAGCAACAGAACGAGATATATATGATGGAACCTAGAAGGAAGTTCATAAGGCATATTAATACGAAGTTAATAAAGTGGCATAGCCAAATATAGTCAAAAGAGACACATATACAAAAAGGTAAAGCAAAATAATATGTATCCAAGTGTAGTATGAAATGAGTCTCAGCCACTGCTGTTCAAACCTGAAGTTCAAAGTAATTATAATGAATGAATGAATTCGAATGCTACAAGTATCACTTGCATGATTTACCATGGCCAAAAGAGCAGCAGCTGTCAGCCCAGCACCGGTACCCTTAACTTCCTATGAAAAAGGCAAAATAGAAAATCAACAAAAATAAATAAATAATTTGAGGTGAACAACCATATAACAACTAACTACACATTAGGACAAAAGAAAGACCTTAGTCAAAAGGTATGTTGCCCATGAGGCGAAAGCAGAGAATATTGGTGCAGTGAAAACACAAACAGTCTCCACGGACAAGGGAATGTTTAAAGAATTTAAAAACCTGAAGCAACACGGATAGAAAAAAACAAGTGAAATGAAGTTAATGCAAAATTTACATGAAAAATAAATAACAAAACTTAATAAATAAACGTTTCTTCCCCTATTGAGTATTGACATTCAGGAAAACTTACCACCATATGGTGCCAGCAGTCAAAGTTAATCCAGGGTAAACAGTTCCACCTATCACACGCCCAAGAGGGTACCTTGATTATGCCAAAAACAAATACATGCTATTCAGAAATCCTAAGTTATGACATAGGTAAAACCATAAACTTCAAATATTAACCACCAAGTGATGAATACCAGGTTCGATCATCAAACCAGTTCCAGAATTCGTATATACCATTCTTTGCAAGAAACTGAAACCAACAAGACAACTTAAACTTGGTAAGTAAATTAAGCCAAATGGATATAAAGGAACCAAAAATAGCAATAATTTGTAAATGGGAGAGGAGAGTTGAGTCAACTGACCTGAGTGACTCTATAATTAAAGTAAGGATCGAACTCGTGAATAACACTCTCGTATTTTATAACCTGAAAACATAAAAGTGCACAAATCCAAACAGAAGATTCAAATTAGGAAATCAATTAAAAAAAAAAAATGAGTCAATCTTCAGCTGAAATTCACTAATTTGAAAAGCATCACACAGATCTCATCTAGAGGGTTCTGGAAGCGCGAGGAATGAGAGATCTTACGGAGAATAAACGGATCGAGAAAGCCATAACACCGATAAGGAGGAGGATGAAGAAAGCGAGAACGCCGCCGAAAGCATTTCTCAAGGCGTTGTTGGTGTACAGCGTTGGAACGGCGGCGGTTGAGATCTCCGGGGCCGCCATTGACAGCGTTTACCTTCTTGTAGGTCTGTGTGTGTATATGTTTGAGTAGACTGAAGAAAATACTTTGGAAGACGAGACACCGAGCTAAAGAAACTGCCCAAAATGACTATAGAAATGATATTTTGACCTTATGGTAATGTTGCTTGATCCAATTGGTTATGCCACGTGTCTTTACATTATTTGACTCGCTATTTTGCTTACACTGTCAACGGCGTTTTTTATGGTGAGGAAGGATAGTCATTTCTATGTCTTTTAACTTTGGTTTAATGGTGTATAATGTTATTAAATTGTTTAAAGAAAAAAGATAAGGCGACTCTGTAACTTTTTTTAAATTTTACGTAAATTTTATATTAAAAATAAATAAATAAAATTATCTCTTTACCGATAAAAATCAACATTGATCGTTATGATATTTATGTAATAATATATGACATGATAAAATTAAAAATAGATTTAATTATACATTTAAGATCTTTTTCCGTAAAACTCAACAAATATCTCTTCCTCCTTGATAAACTGTTGAATCAAAGGGACCATATAGCATGGGCGGCACCTCCTCTTAGCCCTGCCAATTTTTTTATAGTATTAATTAATATTGAAATATATATATAATAAATAAAGAAAATTTTATCCAATCACCCTTAATAAAAAATTGTATTTATGGAAAATAAAAAAAATACTTTAACTCTACCTTTATAAATTAATGTTCCGCTCCTGCCAGATAGTGGCAAAACATTTGCTTTCCAACAATTTATTATCATAATTCCATGAATGAAACACATTGTAAGTCCTAGAGCATTTTATTATTATTACTTGTAAGGGTGTTAGTCATTCAGTATAATCGACCATAGGTGGGTGATCTTTCGTCAAAAGTGACAAAATGACGATGGTCGCCTCGATGATAGTATTAGAGGTTAGAATGAGAGATTTGAAGAGTTTTTTTGTATTTAAAAAATATTTTAAAAAATAATTTTGAATTATTTAATATAAATGTGACAAATGTCAAATAATGACTTTAAAAAATCATACACCTAAAACGATAAGTTGCTAACACATACCTTTATTGACATAAACTTTATTTAGGCACGTAAATCGAAAAAGATGTATAATTTGAATATTTTTAATATTAAGTATTTCTAAATACATCTTTAAAACTCATGAAATTAAATAAAAAAAAATCTATTGTTTTTGAAATCTAAAAGACTTGTTTGAATTTGAGGGGTTTGAGATATTTTTTATCAAAAATATAAATGGTAATAAACATTATTTTATAAAGACGAATAATATACCTTAAAATTAAACTCATCAAATGATTATTGGAGGATATCAGAGTATTAACACATCAAGTCGTTAGATAGATTTTTATATATTATAAGTGAATTTTGTGAAAAAAATAATCAGATGAAAAAAAATAAAAAATAAATGTCAATGCATCAATATATTTATAACAAAATAACATTATTCTGAGCACTAATAAATCTATAACTAAATAATAATTTTTTTATCACATCATCGCACATAAAAATTATCATCTACGTCAATGTATCGTTTTTTAATTATCGATCTAGTAGTATAATTAAAATTAAAATTAAAATTAAAATTAAAATTTAATACTAATATGTATCAATTTATATTTAATTGATGATTTTGATGAAAGAAAATATTTAGAGGTACATGAGTTTATCTAAACATTAATTCTCAAAGCTTTTAAAACGCACCGTCTTAAGTATTTATCTCTTCTTCGGATATTTTTTTTCCTCCTGACATATATATTTGCGAGCTTGACCCTCTAATCATAACCCTACCAGAATTCCCCTTTCTACAGCCGACTATCGATAAAGCTAGCTGCTGCACATATATATTTGCGAGCTTGACCCTCTAATCATAACCCTACCAGAATTCCCCTTTCTACAGCCGACTATCGATAAAGCTAGCTGCTGCTCGGCTCGATTCCGATCAAATCGTTAAATTGGTATATTCAAAAGCTTTTTCAGGTATTTATCCTCTTCTTTTTTTATTAGGGTTTCCTGTTTTCTCGTTCCAATTTTTGTTATTCGCTTTTAAATCGTTTAATTGAGAAGGATCAGGGTTTTCGTTTCGCTTAATTAGGTTTTTTTTATAGATAGAGATCTTGTAGATTTGGATCCGCCATGGCGGCTTTGAAGGAGCTTTTACCTGAAGCGAAAAATGCAACGTCGACGTATTATGACCACGCGAACGATCCGTGGTTTAAACAACGGTTTAGTAATATGTCGGAGGAAGAGAAATCCATGGCCATAAAGGCGAAGCCCGTACCGCTTTACTTGAAGCGAGCCGGATTTGTTCCTAGAAAAGTTGAAGACTTCGGAGATGGAGGTGCTTTCCCTGAGATTCATATAGCTCAATACCCTCTTGATATGGGAAGGGCGAAAGGGGCAAAACCTGGATCGAAGATTCTCCCTGTGACTGTTGATGCTCATGGGAACTTGGCTTATGATGCGATTGTGAAGCAGAGTGAGAATGCGAAGAAGATTGTTTATTCACAGCATAAGGATTTGATTCCGAAGATTCTGAGGAATGAGGAAGAGGGTGGTGAGGAGGGAGAGGAAGAGGAGGAGGTGCAGAAAGAGATCGAGGAAACTATGCAAGAAACTAAGGCTGCTTTAGAGAAGATTGTAAATGTGAGATTGAGTGCTGCACAGCCAAAGAATGTTCCGAAACAATCTTCGGATTCAAAGTATATTAAGTATAAGCCTTCACAGAAATCGGCTGCATTTAATTCTGGTGCAAAGGAGAGGATAATTAGAATGGTGGAGATGCCTGTTGATCCTCTTGAGCCTCCCAAGTTTAAGCATAAGAGAGTTCCTAAGGCTTCAGGGTCTCCACCAGTGCCAGTGATGCATTCCCCTCCCCGGCCTGTGACTGTGAAGGATCAGCAGGATTGGAAAATTCCACCTTGTATTTCGAACTGGAAGAATCCAAAGGGGTATACAATTCCACTGGATAAGCGTCTTGCTGCTGATGGAAGAGGTTTACAGGAGGTTCAGATTAATGATAACTTTGCTAAGCTGTCTGAGGCTTTGTATGTTGCGGAGCAGAAGGCTAGAGAAGCTGTGGCAATGAGATCAAAGGTGCAGAAAGAGATGATGATGAAGGAGAAGGAAAGGAAGGAGCTGGAGTTGCGAGCTTTAGCTGCTAAAGCTCGTTCTGAGAGAACTGGGACTGTGGCACCATCAGCTGCTGTTCCAATGTCATCTGACAGAAGTGCTATGGATACTGATTCAAGAATGGATTATGAGCCAGTTAGGGAAAGAGAAAGAGAAAGGGATATGCCGAAGGAGTCAAAGGAAGAAAGGGAGGAGCGGTTGCAGAGGGAGAAAATACGTGAAGAGCGTCGTAGAGAAAGGGAGAGAGAGAGAAGGTTGGAGGCCAAAGACTCTGCCATGGGTAAAAAGAGTAAGATTACAAGAGACAGAGATAGAGATATTAGTGAAAAAGTTGCTCTCGGTATGGCTTCTACTGGTGCCGGAAGAGGTGGTGAAGTAATGTATGATCAGAGATTATTCAACCAGGAGAAAGGAATGGATTCTGGATTTGCAACTGATGATCAATACAACATCTACGACAAAGGTCTATTCACAGCACAACCTACTCTGTCAACACTATACAAGCCAAAGAAAGACATGGATTCAGACATGTATGGTGGTGCAGATGAGCAGTTAGAGAAGCTAATGAAAACCGAGAGGTTTAAGCCAGACAAGGCGTTTACTGGCACTTCTGAGAAGAGTGGTCCAAGAGACAAGCCACTCGAGTTTGAGAAGGAAGTTGAAGAAGCTGATCCATTTGGTCTTGATCAGTTCTTGACGGAGGTCAAGAAGGGCAAGAAAGCAATGGACAAAGTGGGTTCTGGAGGGACAATGAAAGCAAGTGCAGGCTCTTCCATGCGAGATGGCTATGAAGGAGGCTCTAGCAGATCTCGCATCGGTTTCGAAAGAGGACGTTGATACTCATGGCTCTGTATCTCTTTAATTTGGACATGTTTCTTGCTGAGTGAAATCTTAATCCCTGGCTAGCTTGGGTGAGATATTTTCTTTATTTCTTCAATATGTGGAATGCTGTTTTATTGTACCTTGTGTAGACCCTAAATAATCCTATTTGTCTTATGCCATGCTAAAATTAAACATCTTATCGTTCACTCATGGAACTTGCATTTTCATGTTCTTTATTGGCGAATAGGCATGCATGCATGGTTAAAAGGCGTCGCATGGTAATTACATTCATCGATGCGTTTATGTGTATATTTTAGGGATTGGCTTGTGGAGGGATGGGTTGGTTTTTTGCTGCATTGACTCATAAAAAAAAATTAAAGTTTTTCACCCGATTAGTCCCGAGGTGTGCCCAAATATTTTGATAAAAGATTACCTTTGATCCAAAACGAGTAATATTTAATATTTTTTCTTATTTTATCGATAAAGATAATTGAAAAGTATATAATGAGGTATTATAATACCTATTTCTGGATATAAAAGAGAATTATTGTAGTTGCCCCAAGTCTTTTTTTGGTTGAAGTGATAGTTACCCCAAGTCTAGTCGAGTTGGGTTGGGAATTTATTACCTTTTATCTCTATCCCGACTTTCTCCTTGCAAAACATGTTTTGACTCGTTCCGAATTCGAATCACAAAACTTGTTTTGATCCATTTTGAATTTGAATTAAGAAACAACCTTATCGAATTAAGTTAGAATATGTGAAGTTCGAGTAATTTGACCATCCAAATATATTTCCTTTCCCTAGTATAACTAGCAATGCTTAGGTAATTAATTTAAAGATGTGTCCTCCATTGTTGGAATTATAAGTAATTCTAGTACAATGTTCCATGCTTAGTAAGTGTTAAAGTTTTACTTAAATGATGAGAAAAACGTGGTTAACAATTAATTATAAATGAAACGTTAACAATCTTTAACTAATTAACATGCTTGATCATGCATCTTAATTTTCAGTACTGTACATTCTTATTTGCAAGATAAAGAGGTTGAAATATATTAATCGAAAAAGGTTGAAAGGAGCTTACAATTCAAGAAACCTAGAATATTCAAAACAATGATTACCGAATCAACACCTCATGATGATCCTAATCCCCTTTAAAGAATTAGGTATTTCTTTCAGAACCCTGTTTTCCTCCAGCAAAACATGCAAACTCAGCAACTCCAACCGACGAGATACGAAAGAGATGTTACAATTAACACACTACTAGCACGACTGCGAATTTATAACTTAAACAGTTCAGATTCTCCAAAACTTCTAAGCAAATACTTCAGAATCAATTTGCTGAATATTGGGGAAAATTTGTTTCAAGGTAACGTTGTAGTTAGGAGACTTTGCCTGCAATAAAAAAAGGTTGATCACATGTGAGGCGATTAGGATAGAATAATGAAAACTAAGCCAGTAGAGGAGATTAAGAAAAGTCAACAAATTGATCACCTAGTGTGCAAATAAAAGACATTAATATCAATAACTCTGTAGCTAAACCGAATGCAATAAGCCAATACAAGGATGATGGTATTATAGAGTATAGACGTCATTGAACTCCTCTAAGGAAGTTTAGATAGAAGCAACGATACAGCACGCACTAAAGGCATACCCTGTCAGTAATTAGTGTTTTCATTCAAATATTAATTTAGGAAACATAATTGAGAAAAAGATTATGTTTATGATGTCAGGGAAACAAGACAAGAAAACAGAGCTCCATAGCATACAGATTAAGAATGGATCATGTTCCAATGATGACTTTGAACTAAATAGAGAACCAAACATATTAAGATAACCAACCAAATAGCCACAAGAAAACATTTGAACCATAAGGATGCTGCAATCATTAAAAAACAACAAAAGCTGTAGTCTCTAAAGTCTGCAAGTTGTGAACCATACACATGGATTATTTTCAAGGTAGATAGTGGTGAGCTTTTCTCTTGAACCGGAAACAGCCTCAGCTAAGCCATCAAGTGATTCTATTTTGTTGTCATTGAGCCATAAGTCTTCTAACCTGCAGACAAAATTATTCAACAGCTTATGATGGGATAAGATCCTTAGACCCAGAGAAAGGGGGGAAATACCTTGTTAAGTTTTGAATGTCATCAACTGATGTTAGCTTATTTGTTGAAACATCTAATACTCGAAGGTTGACCAATTTTGATAGGCCTTCCATTTTTGAAATACCATTGTGGCTCAGGTATATTTCTTCTAGGGCAATGCATTCCTTGATAACAAAAAATCCAAAAGAAAACCCTCAACCAAATGTTATGAAATACATAAATCTTTATGAGAACCTACATTTTTAAATTGCTATACCTCCAACCCTCTCATAGAAATTAACCGGTTACTTTGAAAGCTTATCTTCTTGATGCAACTAAGCCCACAAAGATTTATCACTTTGATTCGGTTCCTTCCTAGCCAAAGTTCTTGTAACTTCGTGAAATTTTGCAAATTTTCCATTACCTTCCAAGAAAGCAATTCACAGATTAGACCATGCTCGAAAAATTACTAATGAGATAAGTAGATAACTAACCAAACTTATCATTCACTCCAACACTGAAACCATAATCAACAGAAAGATTATACCATGCAACAAAAAAATTCAATCTACCTGCTACACACAATAGATTCTTGTTTCACATTATTTACATAAGGAACCTTATTCAAGTAAATTTAAGTACTAACCCGTAGCCTGTTCGAACCAAGTTCAAGAATTTGCAACTCATGCAAGTGGCCAACCTCCTCCATCTTAGTAACTTCATTTTTGGAGACATAGAGTTCCTTGATTGTGCTGGAGGCCTCCGACAGTCCTTTCAGCGAAGCGATTTCATTGAAAGAAACATCAAAAATCAAAAGCTTTTTGAATATACCAACATCTGGTATTTTCGTCAGTTTATTATCCCTAAGTATTAACTCCTGCACACACACCAAAAAAGAAAAAAGGAAATAAATCCATGCTTCTTCACTAGGCTCTTATTCTTTCATTTTTATTTGGCTTTTATTTCTAGAAAAATGCTAAAAAAAACTAAAGCAAATTGTAAAAGAATAATTACAAACATTTTATAAAAACAAATAATTAAAATAAAACATACATTCAAGCGTAATTAGTTCATGCAAACGTAAACTTGTGCATTAAAAAATCCAAATTCATAAGAGGTATATAAATTTCACACACACATATTTCTAACAAAGTTCCAAGTATATTGAAGAAAATGAATAAGATAACCTCAAGACCGGATAACGAGTCCCAGTGGGAGATCGGCTCGATAGCAGAATCGTTGAAGAGATTTTGTCGAAAAAAGAGCTTTTTGAGATGAATGAGATTCGCAATCCGAGGGTCCAAACTCGTTAAGCGGTTCGTTGTCAGGTCTAACTCGGTGAGATTTGGCGGCAATTCCACTGAGTCGAGATCGCGGAGCTGGTAGCAGGTGAAATCGAGGGAGTTGATGGAGGATAAATTCATCTCCACCGTTTCATCATCTCGTTCAGCGTTGGCTTCTGGCGGTGTTGTGCTTTGGTTTTGCATTTTTTTTCTGGGAGGCGGGGACGCGAGCAAATTCCGTCGACCGCTCGTGCTGCGGAAAATAGTTTTGGTTTCTGGTGCTTGTGTTCTCCACCCGATGGATTCAATAGAGTATTATTATGCATGAGAAGCCACACGACGTCGTGCTGTTATCTATTAAAACGGTACCGTTTGAGAGAAAACCAGTAAATTACTAGGCCTAGTCCCTATAAGTCCTCTAAATTAGGATTTTGGATTTGCAAAACTTAAAATCAAGACCTTATTTAGAAGAGAGAGAATTTTTATAAATAGATTTTAAAATTAAATTAAGTATTTTATTTTTTTCAATATTTTATTTTCAATTTATCTAACAACACTTATGTAGATGTTTATTTTTTCATTTATAACTAAAAATTATTTGATATAATTAAATTATAAATATTTATTTGAATTAAATTTATTCAATGTTGGATTATCTGTGCCGTGCTTATATTTGATATCCTAGAATATTTCAATAAAAATAGTAAGTTTTGAAAATTTAACTTGAATAAAAATATAAGTCAAATCAAATTTTCATATTTAAAGTTCGAACTCGACTTAAATTAATTTATTTTTATTTTTATAATATATTATTGTTTTTATATATTTCATATGTATTATATAATTTATGTCATACAAAAATTAAATTATTATATTATAATGTAATATTAAAAATTTGTTATTCAAATAAGATTTTCATTTTGTTTTCTATATTTTTCTAAAAAAGAAGAGCCCACCGTGATCTTCATCTTAGCAGAGATCGAGTTCGTTACCTTCTCATTATTGCTAGCCAAATTGCACCGTCGCCGTCTGATAATCTTATTTGCCGGTGCATGAACACTCCCTGGATACATCTCTAAGTGCACGCTTTCTTCACTGATTCATAATTAATGGCTTCGTGGTTCAAAGTCGCCGAAGGTGTGAACTCTTTTCTTTCAATTTGTTTCAATCTACAAATCATTTGTCCTTTTTTACTTTTCTCGACTTTAAAATTTTAATCGAATTTTGAACGTTTGATCAAAAGCTTGGAATCATTAAATCACAATGTCGTGGGATTAATTGCGAGTTTTAAATGGATTACGTAGCTTAGCATAATTTTATTTCTTAAATTTTGAAATTACATATATCTGCTGGTGATTAGCTGGGCATAAACTAAAGCGCTGAAGATTGTAGTTATCCTTTAATGAGATCCACATCTGATTTTCGTGTTTGGCGATTAACATACTTTGAAGTGAATAGTGAAAAACAATTAAGCTTACTCTAGAAATATGATGAAGTACTGTGGCATGTTTATTTATTCGACGAAATATAGAATTACTAGTTGCTTGTCTGCAATTCGCTTTTATTAGATTTTGGAGTTTTGCTATTATTGGCTATTCTTTGTAATGCAAATGCCAGTGATATATTTACGGTAAACTAGAATTCGGTCACTGTTATTTGGTTGGTGTAAGCGAAACATGTAATTGCAAAAGGATTGCCGGATGAAATTTACCTTGTGGTACACGTATCGGAATTATCGAAAGTTTTTGCTTCCATTTTGGTTGTTACTTGTTATGAAATTATGAGTAAAAAACATATGCGGTTTACCTGCCATTTTATGATGGCCATCACAAAGAGTTGAAAAAAG